GGGGGGGGGAACCCCCGAGCGAGGGAAAGAATCAGAGCGAGGCAGAAAGACAGAAACGAGCGAGAAACGTGTCGGTGAGAAAAGAAGAAAGTGGATTGGAAAAGGAGCCCCTGTGTTCTAATCTGATATCCAACGGTTTGCGCCTCTGCACACAGCCATGACATCCAGGGAGCCGAGATGTGATTGAGCTCACGGTCAAGCTCAAATCTCTTGCCCGCGTGTAACCGAAGAGGGAAAAAAGAAATAAAAAAAGACAGCTAGCAAACCCTGGCGTCTGCGGCGAGGACAAAGCATCCGGAGAGAACTGGGAGAAGTGCGTCACATGATCTGCACATAGATCTCAAGCCATTTATATGCATGTAAGAAAGTTGTAGGAATCCACATGTTTCACAGTCTGAGTAAATATTTCATATTTTACTTGCATACAGATCTCGCCCCACTGTGAAATTACACATGCATGCACTGAAAGTCCCAGTTTTCCACCGGCGCAGGATGTGGGTGGAGCAGAGAGGCCCGCTCGCTAATGTGACCTGATTCATTTATCAGCGCGTGAATAAATGCAAGTGAATGTTAAGATTCTGTATGTAAAATATTAATATTTATTCACGCTGCGATGTACACATTTGCATAACAGTTTGATCTCCTCCAGTTGGTACATGTGTGTTTGGATTGCAGTAAGTGCTCAAGTGCACACATTTGTGAATCTTATTTCTCTGTTTTTTTCTTCCTGTCGCACACTTGTGACCAATTTGAGAGTGAAAGAAAAAAGAGAATAGGCTTCTTGTTTTATGCCACAAGAGAAGTTTGGATTCACACACAGTTCGGCTCCACTTTTTAATGACGTGTCAGGGCAGCATGTCACAGAAAAAACGCTCGCATTCATCCGAGCATGCGTCGGTTCTGTGCGGCTTTGCGGGTTTTTGTGTGTGTGTGCGTGCATGCGCTGCGAGTTGTAAGCTGCAGGCTATAGAGTGGAAAAGTGGCATATTGAAGGCACTGGGTAAATAATATGCAATTTTCTCTCTCCACTATGCTGTCACTAACAACCGATGGCACCGGGAAACGGGGGACCCGGACATCACTTAGAGACAGAGGGAGAGCGTTTGAGCGTTAATAATGGTTTGCTATGAGACACAAAGCTGCTGAATGAAAGTACAGAACTGTTTCGGTTCTCTTTGAATGGGTATCATCGAAGGTGTGCCACCCTTCAAGGGTCTGTATGTGTCTGTCTTTACAACTTAAGTGAAAGTGGAGTTAGGGAGGCTTCAAAAGAAAAAAAGGAAATGCCCTTTTTGGAAGAACATATTCCTGAAGTTACTGTTATTTGACAGAAAACGCAGCTATAACTGATTAAAGAGGACCTGTTATGCACTTTTGCTGCTCCGAGTTCTTCTTCTTGGACCTAATTAGAGGAACTTTGCACAAGTCAGAGTTCAAAATAATCATTATTTACGTTATGCTGGCCTTTGATGTAGCCACCCTCCCTTCAAGCCTTCAAGCTCACCTTAAAGTCTTGTTATTACCCAACAGCTACACACAGTTTTGTGCTTACAGCCAGAATTCTGTGCCTGAAATGACCATATTATTGTCATGAATCGCTGTGTGGCAGCCAGGAATTGGACCCAAAATGCAGGCTTTTAGACACGAGGGCGAACTCAAAACCACAGCTTTATTTGCTGGCTGGGAAAAGCATACAAAAGCAGAATAAACTGGAAAATGACAAACTAAACTCACAGGGAGATCCACACAGCATGAGGGACGACACTGGGTTTAAATACACTGGGAAGTAACGAGGGGAATGAGACACAGGAGGAGGGCACAGCTGGGAGAAATCAGAACTGACGAGACAAGGAAGCAAAGCAGGACACATTCACATAAGACACGTACCTTCAAAGTAAAACAGGAAGTAAAACACAGAGACGCAAACTTGACACGGTGGAGACAGCGACTAAGAAACACAGACATAAACCATGAGGCAGAGGACTCTAAGAACCAAAATACACATAGGGAAATACTAAGCTTGGAACACAAGAAACTAGACTCGAGGGAGTAACAAAAGACCAACCGTGAGAACATAATTCACAATGCAGAGTGACAGAAAACAAGAAGCTCAAACATGCAAAGACACAGACGTACACAGAACAGAGGGGGCACGGAGAAACA